CTTTCCATTATTTGATGGCATTTCATTATATTAGTTTATTTGGGCTGTGAGTAATCAAAAGGGAAGTGTGCTTGTTTAGAGGGGATCAAGTTATTCAAGTTTATATGGGCCTTGGTGCACCGCACCCTAACATTTTCACTCGTTCCGAAACCCAACAACTTTTGCCCACGTCTACAGGCACCCCACTGGGCGTGGGTAATCCTACCGTTCGGCGAGGCACATTTAATATCTCTTAGTTTTGTCTGATGTATGTGTTGTAATACCTGGGGAATGGCTCGATTCAATTTTGGTTACTCATAGCGTGTACATTGTATGTACCCCTGTTTGTGCTAAAGAGTTTTACTCTCGAGAGGGCTCAAAAGTGCTGTAAATTACATGTTACCTGTAGGCTTTGTTCATTATAGGGCTACTCCGAATTAGGTTTTCCTGAGGTTTTCCTAAGTGTTTGTTTACAATGAACGTATACGTAAATATTTCATAAACCGTAACTCGTACATTTTCAACTTTGGCGACTATGCGCAAGACTTCCATACCGCCTACGTATACGTACATACGTAAAAATTACGTTCATTGTAAACACCTTCGTATGTTTCTATACAGTTCAACTTTGCGAAATTTTTAGGTTTTATGTATTTCTTACGTATATACGTTCATTGTAAACAAGCGCTAATTCGTAAGGTAAATGCCGGAGTGGTATAGAACAACTTAAGACCTTCTGCAGGGGCGCCGCTAAAAAACATTATGCGGGTCACTCTGTAATCTAACTTGGTAGTAGCTTCAATATAATCTTAATCAGCTATTGCGTTTGGTGTTCCTTACCCATAAAACGCCCTCAGTGCCAGCTGAGAACCCTACATCACGATCACGATCTTAGTACACTCGGAGTGGCCACCGAGTGACAGATTCTCGTGGGAAACTTAAGCGATATTATGCAAATAGGCAGCCATGTTAGTTTGGTGTTCCCGCTACTACAGAATATGGTCAAATATTCCGGTTTGACTTGAAGTTGGCGTTAAGCCCGCCAAGATAGTAGAGGCCCTGTATGATTCGACTAAAAAAAGAAAGCACCTAATACAGTTCCGATTCGTTTGTATCTGTTGTTTCTCATCTTGTGCCGGATGCAAATCTTGTACCTAGGCAATACAAGAAAGGGGTTCTCTAATAAACTTTCCGTATGTGTACTACACATACGGTCCGTTTGTGTGATAATTTACTTTTACATGGATACTGCTTGCATTATCATCTGCCCCCTTTTCATGTTAAATTGCAGGGAATTGATTCTGAAACAAAGCCATGCGCATTTGATGTTCTTTAAGTACATGTGAGAAGAAGAGAGGCGCACAGACCCCTGGCTCGAGAACGATGCGGCATTGTATACAGTGGGTGAAAGTCTTGTCGAAAAAAACAGACTTTGTCTACGACACCTCAAGCTCGGCGAGATGTTCAGTTTCAAGAAGGGTCTGTGAGGAAGGTGAAGAAGTGGAGGCCGAGCTGAGGTAAGGAAGCGATAATCTTCATGGCGTAAGTCGAACAAAGAAAAAGTGTATATGTGTTTACATAAACGGCGAAACGGCTGGGAATCAAACAAAATGACAAAGTTAAGCTATACGTAGGGACGGGGAGCTCGTTAGCAAAGTAGCTGAATGCGTCTTTTACATAAGATCAATTGCTTCCACAAGTTAAAAGCGTGGTCACTCGCGACCGACGAAAGCGCATTTTCCCCGCCCAGAATCAGTAACTCGGGAAGTAGGTAAGTAACCAATCCAAATAAACTTTTATCGTTCTGGTCTCTGGTTGTACTACACCGAATAAGAAATAAACCGCAACGAAAAAGCTTAAATTGGAGGACAAAATGCGGACAATAGCGTTCATTTTCCTTTTGGAAAATGCGCTAAAAATGACATCAAAACAGAAGAACGTCACCTTAAACTGGTAATCGACATACTCGTACAAGCAGATGTGGCACAAGCACAGGAGTTGCTCCAGAAGGAACTGGGGGAGGCCCCCTATAAAGTCGGAGACGAGCATGAGAAACCTGAATGAGACCACTACCTAGGGGCGGAAAGCAAAAGTAAGATGGAAATAAAAAGCATTCGAACGGGGAGGGGGGGGGGCATGGTTTCCATTGCAACTATATTTGCCCAGAATAGTGAATAGACACAATCATTAGAACGGGTATGGGTGGGCATTGCTGAGTGCGCGAGGAGGACGGGTATAACTGTAGTCCGTGCCAGGGCGGTAAATATTATACGTATGCGTATTTACATTATTTTCATGTAAAAACCGTATAAATAGCTTTTACATGGTTTATTGTACCATGGCTTTTACTATGGTATATGAAAGGAAATACTTTAAAATGCCATTGCAGAGACAATCCCTCATGAGCCACTACTGCAGGCCCGTAGCTAGGGGCGGTGCATCCCATCCCGGCGACTTACACCCCGGCACCGTTTTTCCGGCGCCAACCCATTCCGGCGACCATTATTACTATCTCGACGCCTATTGATTTTCCGGCATCGGTTATACCGGCATTGCATACCTTCCAAACGGTCCATCCCCATATTTCTTTTGTTTTTTTCTATACACAAATTTAATATCTTTCAATTGCAAAAATTGAACACTGTTCATTGTCAAGGTATGTGAAAGTACTTACTGTGAACGCTCCATTTAGTACGTATACGCAGTGTGTCCGTTCGATAGAAAGAAGGGTACATCAGCAAAATTTTGTAGAATTCTGAGCTGATTTGAAATCATTTTAAATTTAAGCAATCTCATTTTTTTAAAGATATCTGAGAACAGCAAATTGCCAGTACGACCGAAGCCGGGAAGTGCACTGTTGCCGGGATGGTAATCGCCGGAACTGCCCATCGCCAGGTTTAAATCGCCGGGATGATCGAAGCCGGGAAGTAAATGGTAGCCGGGATGACCGTGGCCGAGCTAGGGGTGGCCAGGAGGGGCTAAGCCCCACCTAGAACGTGGTCTTGCCCCCACTGGAAGGTTGATGGTTTCTTGACAAAAATTACAAGGGAAGTTTTTATTAAAAACTTCTTAAGCCCCCCCCCCTCCCAGAAAATACCGGCCACCCCTGCTACTTTATTCTGGCTACGGGCCTGCACTACTGGACTAAGCATGAAAGCTAATCACAGTCTATGTTGAATCTAATCTAGATTCAAGCTTTGAATATAAAATTAGGTATATGATTCAAAGATTCAAGCAATACCTGAAAAATCTTATTTCTATATTTCACATTAGATAATACACCACCAACTATACGGTCATGCATTTTGGTTGCCTATCCACTACCGTTCCAATCCAAATACATCGTTTTGTGCTTGGCCAAATTTGTTGACAAATGACATGTCTGAGAGATAATTACCTACTTTGGTGGATTAAATTAAAATTACACAAGATAATGAACAAGCTACTAGAAGATGGACTGCGACACGAAAGTGAATTACAAAATGTTCTTACGTTAAAAATGACTCCCATAAACCCTACAAATAACCTCCCAACTTTCCAAAATGAAAAATGTGACGAGTAGGTAGGAATAACACTGAATTAAAAATACATCGGGAATGCAACATTTATCACTTATGTATAAATATTGATTTTCCATTTCATGATCAAGTATTTTCTATTAATAACTTCACTAAATCTTACATATATTTAAAGACTAAGTAGAAACATTTTATTAGAAATGTGTATAAATAGGTTACCTACTGAACATCAGACGCATTAATATTTTCCAAGTACGTACTTAAAAAATGGATTATAAAGACCTTCCATTGGCACGAAATTTAAATTTTGGACATTGGCTTGAATGCTTTTTTCTACCTACGTACTGTTCCTTTTAGTGAAAGGCGTATAAATATTCCACTCATACTGTTTTTTTTCATTACGCAGATCAAGAATAAACCAAATGCATTTGAGACTTGTGCCACAAATTGGCTATATATTGTTTCCAATATTTAAAGGAGCAAAAATACATACCTTCTCACCCCATATCAACTACAAATAAAGTGGAAATTTGTATTTGGCGTAAATGAAGTAGTTTGTTTTCATAATGCGTAGGTTACATGTGCAAATGAAATTCCCTTTGTTTTTGTAAAAGGGTTAGATTAGAGTTTTTTTCTATTTCGATTTTTAAATGTTCTTATTAACGCACTGTGTTCCATTCAAAACAGTGCGTTAATGAGACGTATCATTGATTATATATAGATAATCAATAGCTGTATTCGTTTCAAGTGATTTAAGGAAAATAGTTGAGTTAATTAATTTTATAATTTTACTTTCTTATTATAGGTAAAAGATTCATGCTTTAATAAATAGTACCTCAAAATAATAGTGCTTTCCCTCTTAGTCCTGTAGATTGTGACTGTACTATTAAGCATATAGATTTACTTATAATTTTTAATGATTTTTGATACAAAAGAATTGCTGTGCGATTTTTAGAATAGGGGATACTTACTACTATAAAAAGTTAATTCTTTAAAGAAAATGTTTTTTTTTTTTTTTAGGTATGGCTTCGACTACTTGGGTCTTCTCGCCATTCATACACATACCTTCCAAGTAAAAAGTAAGTATTTTAGAACTTTATATTTTTATACATTGCTGTATATCCCTATTGCTTTCAGGAACTTTAGCACATTCTTCAAGTTTGGTATTTCGTTAAGGTTGCTTCTAACATCTTCCTTTAGGTTAAACCTATCACGCTGATTTACATACTTAACACAATCACAGATTACATGCTTCACAGAGAGATCAACATTACACGCATTGCATCGCGGCCTGGGATCACCCGTCAAAAGATATTGGTGCATTTGTGTGGCCTAATCTTAACCGATGTATCTTTATTTGTTCATCTCTACGAAAATCTTTCAGGTATAGTTTTTCCTTCACCGATAGTTTAACATGTGATAGGGATGTACTTTGTCTTTCCCATTTGCCTTGCCAGATTTCTATTATTTTTTGTTTAAGGTGACATTGTACGTCCGTCATTTTGACATGCTCCTCATCAATTCTTGGACCTGTTATTGCAATTTTCGCTGCTCTATCAACCATTTCATTTCCATTAATGCCAGAATGTCCAGGTACCCAAACAAAAACAGGTCTGACATTATGCTCACTCAGGTCCACCAAACAACCTTGGCATAAACGAGCCAGAGGATCTCTCGTGTATATATCTTTTACAGCATTTATGGCATTTAAGGAGTCGCTAACTATCAAATATGTTTTATTTGTAGGTTCTACGGGAATGTGTACCAGAGCCTTCCATAATGCAAACTGTTCCGCAGTATACACCGAGGTTATAGGGTTTAGGGCCCAGGAGTGGACCACACCATCAACTACCATGGCGGATCCCGCCCCTTGTTGGTTTTTCGAGCCATCAGTAAAGATAACCGTTTTATTTGTGTAGTTGTTAGCGATCTCCTCAAATAGACGTAAGTATTGTGGCTTTGTTGCTAAATTTCTGTTTAGATTCTTAAGGTCTAATTTTACTTTATTTTAGGTATCAACCACGGGTAGCAATTGTACTGGTTTTTCTGCACTAGGTGAGGTATTGTTTCGTGTAGTTCCCCCAGGATCTCTTTAAACCGTATCCCGAGCGGTCGTGGGATAGTTGGCCTGGCGTCAAAATCATTTCCGTCTGGAAATAGGAAAACATTGTTCGGGTGAGTGGGATCTGATTTTATTTTAACCATATAATTGATCATCAGCTGTTGTCTTCGCGTATCCAATGGAGGCAAGTTCGATTCACAATAAAGACTGTGTATAGGAGTGGTAGGAAACGCGCCTAAACAATACTTTATTCCAGTATTATGCACCCTATCTAATAGTAATAGCGACGATTTACGGGCTGATGCATATACAATCGCTCCATAGTCGATTTGCGACATAACTAAGGCCCGGTATACGTTTATTAGCATTTGCACCTCAGCACCCCATTTGGTACGCGATAATACCTTGATGATATTCATGGTTTTCATACATTTTGTTTTCAGGTGTTCAATATGCGCGTTCCACGTTAGTTTGCTATCAAACGTCAATCCCAGAAATTTTGTCGCTGTCACACACGCAACTGGTCTATTTCCGATATAGAGTGACGGATCATAATGTGGTCTGCGCAATTTACAAAAATGAACGCATTTAGTTTTTTCCCTGGAAAATTGGTATCCGATTTCACTTCCATTGCGCACAATGTTGTTGATCGCATTTTGCAGTTTAACGTTTATCTGGCCTACAGTGGCCCCGGAGCAATATATCGCCAAGTCATCAACATATAGAGCCCGAGAAACACCAGGCTCCACTCCGTCCGCAATCTCGTTAATTGCAATCAAAAACAGTGTACAGCTCAGCGTGGAGCCTTGCGGTACACCGTTTTCCAGGCGTTGAACTTTTGACAAAGTGTTTCCTATCCGCACCCGGAAATATCTATCGGTCATAAACGATTTAATAAATTTAGGTAAGTTACCCCTCGCACCGTATTTGTGCATTTTATTTAATATTCCATGCCTCCAGGTCATATCGTAGGCTCCCTTTATATCAAAAAATACCGCTACGAGGTGTTGTCGTTTCCTGTGAGCTTCCCTTAATTAAAGAAAATGTTGTCTTGAAGAAATATCCAGTGTTCCAAACTAAATATGTTCAGCCTGTATATAATTTTGTACTCCATGGACTAAAGCATTATGTTTTGTCTTCAATTTCAAGAGTGGTTAAACGTAAAAAAGTAAAAGTTACAGCATAGATTAAAAAAAGATAATTCAATGAAATGGATAGTTTCCTCTCACTATATTTTACGGCAGGCGTGGGCAACCTTTTTTCCAAGGGGCCAAAATAAAATTTTTTATATGCGCCACGGGCCACACTTGAAAATCCAAATAAAAAGTATGTTTAAAGAAATCAATATCTAAGTATCTATTTCTTTTTGGTCTTGATCTATTTTTTGCTTTCGTAAAAATTATTTTTAAAAAAATCAATAAGTACTCCTGAAAATTGACACGATTTTGCAAACAAAATTTGCCAGATGTGGATAATAAATCCCCATATTCAGTTTGTATCCAAATTTTCATTTATGCTCTTAAGATTCTTAATCCCTAAATCACGTGTCGTTGTATTGCCCCACCCGGTATTATCGCGAGGAAAATTCTGGAAAATGCCTGGCGATATCTCTGAAACAATAAATGCATCTTTAACTAGGCTTTCAAACGTCTTGGAAGCTTCGGATCGCGTCCACTAGATGCTGCACGTGTAACATAATCGTATTAATTAATTAATAAATTAGAATTTGAAACTTGTGGGCCCTATGAAGTATTAACTATGAATTATATTAGCGGGCCGGACAAAACTTATCGGCGGGCCGGATCTGGCCCGCGGGCCGGGGGGTGCCCACGCCTGTGCGCTAGACTATACTATATATCTAGACGTATTCCAAGGTTCGGAGTAGATAGTTTTTCAAATAACTTCCGCAGATTTCTACTTTTTGTATGCAAAAGCAATTAATTCGCCTTATGCCTACAGGGTTCAGCAAGCGAATCTACCTTCATAGCGCTATTAACCGCAAAGGAAAGGATGGTGCGAAACATTAAGAACGTACATCCCCAACTCGACGAAGGTCTAATAAAAGCGAAACTCGTAGCTTACACTTCGGACCAGGCGAATTCGTCGGTGGAAAAGGCCGGGATGTTGGGTTCTATGCCGATGCGACTGTTACCAACGGACCAAAACGGCTGTCTACGCAAGGAAACTTTGGAGGAGGCGATCAGTAACGACAAAAATGCGGGGTTAATTCCGTGTTACGTGGTTGCCACGTTGGGCACGACGGGTACGTGTGCGTTTGATAACTTGGAGGAGTTGGGTCCTGTGTGTAGAAGAGAGAAGTTATGGCTGCACATTGATGCGGCGTACGCCGGTTCAGCGTTCGTCTGTCCCGAATATCGCTACCTAATGCGAGGAGTGGAATATGCGGATTCCTTCGACTTCAATCCGCACAAATGGATGATGGTCAATTCCGACTGTTCGGCAATGTGGGTGAGAAACTCGAGGCACTTAGTGGAGGCTTTTAATGTTGACCGAATTTACTTGCAACACGAACACGAAGGAGTAGCTCCCGATTATCGTCACTGGCAGATTTCGTTGGGGAGGCGATTTCGCGCGTTAAAGCTGTGGTTCGTTTTGCGCAGTTACGGCGTTGAAGGCATTCAAAAACATATACGCTCACAAATTGAGCTTGCCCATTACTTTGAAAAGCTGGTGAAAGATGATTCGCGATTTGAGTTCGCCTGCAGCTCCATGGGACTAGTCTGCTTTAGAATGAAAGCGGGGGATCGACTTACACAGACTCTCGTGGATAAGTTGACGCAACGCAAGAACATTTACGTAATTCCTTGCTACTTTCAAGGAAATTACGTTGTCAGATTCGTAGTGTGCAGCAGGTTGACCGAAATCAGAGATATTGACTATGGGTGGAGGGAAATTTGTGAGGTTGCTTCTGAAATTTTGAATGGATACATCACGGGTAAACCAAATGGTGAGCTTGTATCGTTACTTACAGTGTCTAATAGGAGTAAAAGAAGAGAAAATTGTATAGAACAATGAAATCACATGGCGTTCTAGTGCGTTGTTAACATATTTTAGTTATTATTATTACAAAAAACCCTTATGCCCTGTCTATGTGATAAGAACTAATGCGAATGCATTTGGTATGGGCGCCAGTTAATTAATAAGGGGGATATTACTTTTTTTTAAATGATCTTGTTAAAAAAATATTACTATAAGTGCACCAAGCGATGCAAAAGGTATACAAGTAGATTTCATAGTATCATTTTGTATGAGATTAGCTGGTAGAACCTTCTACCGAAGGTTTGAGCGATTGTCAACAGTACAGAGGAGTTCGCCGCCTTGGTGATGGAAAATGCACAACTTAAGTTATTAAGATAACGTAATGGGGCTATTGCATCCTTGCAGACCTTTTGAGGTTTGGCCAAAAATGCACTTTTATCTGACCGGCAACTGTCCAAACAATAAAACGTACTTCTTTTAGTCTACCCTTCTAGGACAATTGCAATTGTATATGGCAGGAGGGAGGTGCGCAATTATAAATAAATGTTTTACTTACGATAAATTAATGTAGTTTTCATTTTTCCCCGTGTAGAACTGAGCTCCCCGAGTCTGTGCATCCGATAAAAAATAGCAACGGTAACAATGGGTGCGTTCACAAGGCGAAGCGCCACCAAAATTCATGGTGAACGAATCGCTTAACTATCATTTTAAAGAAACCAAGTGACCGCAGGCAAAGTTCGGTGTAACTTATTTCGGATCTCGCACCTCACGCTTTTTCGGTCTATGAATTCGACCGTAATATTTCGCGGATATCCGCATAACGCTTTCCGAAAACCTCTCTTGTAATCCCTACTTTTTTAAAATTTTACAGAATACGCCTGCAAAATGGTGGCTATTCGTATCTACGGCCATCTTTACTCGTTCAATGAACTTCGTCTTCCTTTCTCAGCCCCACGTTTAGAAAAGCCATTAGCCGGCAAGCAGGCATCAGAGCTTGTTTTGCTCAGCCAGAATCCTCACCATAAGCGTTTTAAATCATCAGAAACTGACGCGATACAGCTATAAATTTACAGAAGGAAGTCGAACAACAATATTATTATTGTCTGCCCTTTTTATCTGTGGTAGGTGTAGCATTGCAATATATTGTTACCTTCTAAATCATTCTTGATATTGCATATTCTCTGTGCTGGCACACATAATATAGTGTGTCCCGAGATGAGGTTCACTATATCTATAAATAATATAGACCATATTTTTTAATTGTTCGAGAAACGTACAATTTTTTAAGTCCCGTTTGTTCTAAAACTCTAGAAGCACCATTTAGCCTTTCCTTAAAATGCGGGGGATTCGAATGAATTGAAAAAAACCTGTCTTGCAACATTCAGATTTCAAGTCAATCAAAAATCCAAAATTGACAGATAAAAATCATGTCAGCTTTGATTATTGACAAATGTATAACATTGTGTACGATTTTTAAGTTTACATCAGAAAATGTTTCTCGTACTTACTTGATTTTACCTGTCAATATTTCGACAAAGTCAAAATTCTGATGTTATCAAACAGGTTTTTGTTTGAAAAACCCTGCATTTTAATTTAATGGTGCATTTAGAGGTTTGGAACAAGTCGGATTCTTTATAAAGAATTACTATTTATGAAAAAAATTGTCGATTACAAATATAATGAACCTTTTCTCGGGACATACTGCATATGTGTCCAAATATAGACATTGATCGGATAAATTCACTCAGCCTTATAATGAATAACAATAAACATTTGTGTGCAAATTCTCTGACTAACTTGTAGGAAATACAGGGTGGCACTTTAAAAGCTTGAATGGGTTGTATCTTATTTCGTATTGGATTTATCAAAAAGTACCATTGCAGTACTACATCGTAGGGAAAGGTAATTTTGGAACCAATCCAAATGGGCTCGTTACGCCCCCCCCCCTTCGTCATTGATGGCCAGACCTTTGACTCACACACACATTTCGCATCTCGTAATAGCAGGCACTAACCTAGAACCCAATTTGTTGCTAGCAGATACCACTGTAATGGTAGTCCTTGCTTTGAGACCGCGCGATCCAAATTTTATCCTAACACTCCAGCTTGAACTTGTAATTAAATCATCGATATCATCCTATGTGCTCAGGGGAGGATCTCGACGAAACCATTAAAAATACGAAAACACTGAAACAGAATGGGGGGGGGGGATATCATTTTATATTCAATGTCTTTAGAACTCCTGCAATAGCCAAAATACTAAAAAGTGAAGCGACTATTCTCACCTGTACTCACTGAGGACGCTCATGATCCTCAACACACCAGAATCCTACAGTTACATAGGGACATCGAAGCCGACCAGAAGATCTTGGGGAATCAAATCAGAGATGCGTTGAATGAAATGCCCGGAGTTCAGAATGTGAGATAACGTGCAACTTGTGAAATCCTTCAAGTAAATGGGAAGATACTTGGCGAGCTTGTAGGTGGGCGAGTTGAGGGTGGGCGAAGAGGGATTCATTGCTTATGAATTTTAAAATATCCGTACCGGCGTACAACTTCGGCGGTTTGAAATCGCTAGGGATGAGACGTGTGAGAGGTGGTCGCTTTAGGTGCTTTAGGAAAGAAAACGAGAAAACGAGAAAATGAAGCGCGTTAAGATAAGAACCGATTGTTCAAGGCGATAAGTTAAAACGCTACAGCGTTACCGGTTCTAAAAACTGTTACGACTAAGGATGAGAGACGGCGTTTCTGCTATACGTTGGCAAGAGAGTGAACGCTTAGGTTTTGTTGGGGTCGTTTCATCACTGGAACTCGTCGAGTACGTAAGTAAAAATTGGGTGAAATCTATGCGGGCATGAACACTTCTAGAGCCAACAATACGAGTGAGAGGGGGGGGGGT